ATGGAATGGCAAACTGCAGATGAGGTGAGCAGGCTGGGATACACATGCACCCCTGCCCACGCTGTCGTACGAGAGGGAGGAGAGTGCTCTGGAAAACAGTTACATATGCATAATTAGTTTAATCTGAAATTAATGCTAATTTCAGCAATTTGCGATGCAGATTCACTATTAGTGCTCCAGTCCACTTGCACTACATTGAGAGGTTGAGGATGCAAACCTTGATGAATTGCACACTGGAGTGTGCCAGAAACGAGTTCAGGCACAGGTTCCTGTCGGAACTCAAAATGTCCCTCAGACATTTTCAGAGGTTCCAGGCCTTGGTCAGAAGCATTTGAGACCCTGGCAAGCAGCTGGAAACAGCTGTGATTTTGAGTTTGAGCCATGGAATGAGTTACCAACTTTGAAGGTGGAACAGGCGGTCACAGAGGGTTAGATGGTATAGTAGAAGTAATTACAAATTAGAGGGGAAAAATTTTTAGTGTTGTACAGGGGGGTTTTAGCACCTGTACAGGGGGGTTTTACTTTGTACAGGCGGGTCAGGAGTTCTAAGATGGAGGAAAGTGAGCCTGATCCTGTTCTTCCTCCTTGTTCTTCCTCACCTCCATGTTCTTGGTGATGCACTCACAGATTGGTTTAGAGTAGAAAAGCACCTTGTAACATAGGTAGTAGGTATTGGGGAAAATCTGTAAACATATAACACGTGATATATCATATAAAAGGTAACAGCAGCAGCCCTGGGTGGGGAGAGAGAAGAAGACAGCAGGCAGTGAGGGTGTCAGGGTGTGTGTCTCTGCCTGGGCTGCTGACCAAAGCAGCGACAGCCCACGAAGACAATCTTTTAGATAACCAGCAACAAACTGCCTTGAGACCCAACAACAAGAGGCTGCCGAGTTTTTCTTTGGAAGCTCAGGTTGGAAGAGAGACTTTTCCACCACATGGGACCCCTGAATCAATCCTGGGGTTCTCACAGGTTCCCAGGGTGTTCCTTGAGCCCGTCTGCTGGGTGTGTGTCTGTCTCCTTTTTTGGGATTTTTCAAGGATTTTACTTCCCAGCATGGCCTGCCAGTGGCACACTCATCTCCTGTCTGTGCCAGCTGGGTGTCAGCACTTGTCCCTCCACCCTCGCCATCCTGAGCCAGGAGCTCTGCACTAAAGCTGGAGGCAGAGGGGCAGCTGAAAGGCTGTGTAAGGAATGGTTGGGAAGTGATACTAAAAGCCATTACCCTGAAGTTAAATATGTAACTTCTTTGTTGAATGTAGACAGCCTTGGCGCATCTAGAAGGAATGGTGGATACTTACTGCTTGAGATTTTGAAATTCTGGGAATCCTGAAAAATATTTAATGAGCTTAAAATCTTCTTTTTTTCATTTTTACTAGTCAGGATAATAAGACAGTTTTGGTGGGGAAGGAAGAACCACAGGAAGGTGATGAGCAGCGTTACTGTGTGAGTGTGAGGGATGTTCAGGGGCTCGGAGCTGGAGCCCCCAGCCCTGCAAAACCTCGTTCCTTCATTTCCTCTGGGTAGGCTGGGTTTAGCTCACATTTGTATTGACATGCTTGAGTGGGACATGTTCCCAGAGACTGCATCTTCAGCCTGTTGTTTAGAGGAGAATTACCTGATACGCCCCAAACTGATCTAATTACAACCATAACCTTGCACAGAATGGCACAAACTCAGCAGACTTGCCTGGCTAAAGCGGGGAAGGTTTTCTTCCTGCTCCTGCACCTCCTGAAGTGTTTGCTCAGTTTCAGAGCACAAAGACAATTATATTTTTCAAAAGCCAAGCCAGTAAAGAGAATGTAACCTTGAATGCCTCCTCGCAGGAGTAGTCACATGTGTTTTGATTAACTCAGCACCAGCACCGTGTACAAACAGAGCAATTCTGTGATGCTCACAATTAAAGGGCCTCACACCAGCCTCGGGTCTGCCTCTCCTGGCAATTTCTTCTGTAGCGAGAGAGAGACACCTTCAGTGCACAAACCCTCCAAAACCACCTGGTAGCCACAGTTTGCAGAGCCCTGCAGTAGCCAGGGGTGGATATATTACACTGCAAATGAAATCCAAAGACACGGAGCTGCAAGTATTGTGGTTTCAGAGTGACCCAGACCTCTTGGAGTCGTTAATAAAACATGGGCGTGTGATTGATTCACACAAATCGCTTCCTATTGCCCAAAGCCCAGTGCTGCACCCAGGAGAGGGCAGGTGGGGCTGCTGGCAGAGGGTCCAGACCCACCAGGGCTTCTGTGACACCACTGCTCTTGGGGGTGCCCCCGTTGTGAGCAACCTCCAGAAAGCAGATTCCGAATTTACTCACAGGAGAAGGCAAAGCTCTTCAGTGACTTTCACGGGAGGAATTCAGACTGGCAGGGTGTGCCCCAGGTGTCCCCCTGCCCGTGTCCCCCTGCCCCTGTCCCCCTGTCCCCCTGCCCGTGTCCCCCTGCCCCTGTCCCCCTGCCCCTGTCCCCCTGCCCCTGTCCCCCTGCCCCTGTCCCCCTGCCCATGTCCCTATTGCCCCTGTCCCCCTGCCCCTGTCCCCCTGCCCCTGTCCCCCTGCCCGTGTCCCTATTGCCCCTGTCCCCCTGCCCATGTCCCCCTGCCCATGTCCCTATTGCCCCTGTCCCCCTGCCCGTGTCCCCCTGCCCCTGTCCCCCTGCCCGGGCTCGGTGCGGCCGCAGTGCCACAGGAGGGGGAAGGCAGCAGACAGACCCCGCTGCAGAGGCAGGGCAGGGTGTGCGTGTTCTGTGCGGGTGCTGGGGGGAATGTGGGAACAAAGCAATTGAACAGTCTCTTCAGGGAAATGTGGATTGTAAAAGCAGACTTAATTTTGTGCTTCGCTTTGGTACCAAAGAGCTGATTTCTGAAACCGTTTCCCGGCTCACAATACATCTCTAGGCATTACAGTGTTGTGAATTTGCTTGTCATTACCAATATTTTCTTTGACTGAAGCTATTGAAACAAAGTGGTCTTTTTTTTTTTTCCCTATAACCTTCAATCTTGCTTCTAAAAGCAGTCGCTCTCTTTTGCTTTCTTTCTTGGTCAAATATAAAAACGATGATAATTTCAAATACTGCTTTAGAATAATTGCTTTCCTCCCTCTTTTGTATGACAACAGAAGCTTGGCCTGATCTTAAATCAGATGTTGGCAGGCAGAGGGCTCTTGACAGCCCTGCAAAATCCTTTAGTTACAAGTCGGCTTTAGCCAATTCTTTATTTGTAAATGACAATTTTCTACAGAAAAATATATGCTTGGGCTTCAATTTTGGAGCCCTAGATTGCAGTCAGGAAAAAAATAATTGAATTTTTACACATTTTATTCTCTCTTCTCTTTTTCTTCCTGACTTTAAAAAAAACCCAAACAGAAAAAGTGAGGCTGTGTAAGGTGTGATTGGAGCTGATTGAGGGGAGTATCTGCCCTGGTTGATGTGCATGGCTGTGGGGACAGAAGTGATGATTAATTTGTTCTGTGCTTGGGAGGATTTGGGGCTGCTCCAAGCTTTGTGTCCGATGCCTGTGTGTGACAGGGTGGAGCAGGTCCGGGCTGTCCTCATGACCTCAGTGGCCCTCACCAAAGGCATTTTCAGAGTCTTTAGTGAAAAAGTAAGGGGGTGATGAAACATGCAGGTGCCAGGTGGATCCCTGTGCCTGTTTTCCCCTGTTTGAGCAGGCAGGTCCTGGCTCTGGAGTTAGGGGCGTTTTCCCCTTCAGTCTCTGGAAGTCTCTTCACGCAGTTTTTCAGTGCCTGGTTTGTTGCTGAGGTGTTTGTTGGCTCCCAGAGCTGGGCAGTGGTGACTCAAACATCTGTCCTCGCTGAGCTGTGTCCAGCTGCAGGGACCTGGCCTGTCCTGAGCCCTCCCCAGGCCCTTCAGAGAGAGCTGACAACATTGTCCTGGCTCTGCCTTCAGTCATGGCCTGTGAGTGCTGTGTGTCAGCTGGGGATCAGCTGTGTGTCAGCTTGGGACCAGCTTGTGTCAGCTTGGGATCAGCTTGTGTCAGTTTGGGACCAGCTTGTGTCAGTTTGGGATCAGGTGTGTCAGTTTGGGATCAGCTTGTGTCAGTTTGGGATCAGCTGTGTGTCAGCTTGGGATCAGCTGTGTGTCAGCTTGGGATCAGCTTGTGTCAGCTTGGGATCAGCTTGTGTCAGTTTGGGACCAGCTGTGTGTCAGTTTGGGATCAGGTTGTGTCACTTTGGGACCAGCCCACCAAAGCCACACTGGGGTTTGTGTTCCTGGGCTGACCTGCCCATCCCTTGTACAGGATCCAGCTGCATCCCTTGCAGGGGATCCAGCAGCAGCCCTTTACAGGATCCAGCAGCATCCCTTGTACAGGATCAGCAGGATCCAGCAGCATCCCTTGGCCTTGCTGGGCCAAGCTCAGGCACACGTGGGGCAGAGAAGGGGCTGGGGGCTCAGCTGGGGGCTGGGGGCACCGAGGGGTTCCTGGAGGGGCTGATCCAGCCCTGGCATGGTGATTCTGTGGGCACGGGCTGTGCTGGCTGGAGGGTGCTGCGTCAGCAGCGCTTTCATCATTTGATTACCTTAAAAGTAACTGTGAGAGTTCCTTTTAAACTGACCCGTGGAAACTTAATAACACATCACTTGGATTTGATGTAATTGCCTCGTCTGCCAAGGAGCCTTCAGCCTGTCTGTAGGAACAGGAGGGGCAAAGGCACCTCTGCTTTAAGGCGGTAGCTATGAAGAGACAATGCTTGGACTCCTTTTTCACTTTTATTTGCATTGAGAAACACAATAAAAATCATTTATTAAAAAAAAATATCCGGGGGCTAGAGTTGTTATTGAGAGCCTTTACTCAGCCATCTCTCAAATAAAAACAAAACAAGACAGAGAAAGAAGTATCTAATCAAATCGAATTGAAATTGCTTTTGTAAAGAAGTATTGTCATTATCTGGGTTAGGGATGGGATCTGAAGAATATTTTTTTTTTCCACGTATTGTTTGAAATAATCTGGTTAAACCATATGCTTGTCTTGTAATTTCTTACAGATGGTCACAAGAACAAAGAAAATATTTGTAGGTGGATTATCGGCTAATACAGTAGTGGAAGATGTGAAGCAATACTTTGAACAGTTTGGCAAGGTAAGTTCTGCCCAAGTGAGACTACATAGTTGTTCTTTCTTCCCTTTCTTTTTGAAGTGTGTTTTGAAAAACAAAAGTGCATTGAGGACTGAGCTCAAAGGAGGGCCAAGTTTTTGCCTTTCCGTGTCATTTCTTGAAGCCTCTGGGATTCCTTTTCTGTTTGTTGCTTGTGTGTGTGCAACATTGCCAACACTGTTTACTTCCACTGAAGAAAAAAGCATCACTGGGAGGTGAATCTGTGTCTGTTCAGGAAAAATCTGACCCTTAGCTGAATGATTACACAGTTGTCTTCTCCATAAAATCAGCCTTCTGCTAGGCCCGATTGCAGTGGCAAAAAGGGCAAATAGACGTATTGGAGAGCTCATTAATTTGTGAAAATGCCTGAAGGAGCCATGTGAAAAGCAAGAGTAATGTGGAAGTCACTAGAATATCCACTTAATTTCTTACTAGAAAATCCTTCTGCAAGTATGTATAGAATGCTGGCATCATTGAAAAATAAAAATAATTAAAAAAAACCCACAGCAAAAGAACCCCTCACCAAAACCCCAAAACAAACAAGTTTATGCAGAGAAGGAGATCTGAACCTTGCCAGAATAGTCTTTGCTGTGATGTAAGAGCTCAAACCCCACAGTCCAGGCTTTGGCTGGTGCTTAGTGACACTGACTTCCATGGGACTCCCTGGGTTCCAGCTCCATGCATTCCAGCCTGACAGCTCAATTCCTGTCTTCAGCAGTGCAGGAATTGATGTTTTAGATGCAAGATTGCGTGAGGACGCAGCAGGGTATCCCAGAGCTAAGCAGCTCCCATTCCCTGTAGTTAGTTTATGTTTCTTTTATCTGCCCTGAAAAGCCTGAGCCAGGCAGGATTTTGTTGAGGGCTGAGGAGGCGAGTTTATAAATGGTTCCTGTGTTGGATTGATAGTTGTTTTGCAAACCAGTCATTTTATTTTCAATAATAATCTTCGATTCCGGCAGGATGTTTACAGCCTGCTGAGCCTTATATTAAAGGATTACATGAGCTTTTGGATGTTTCTTCTGTAGTTACTTCTAATTGCAGAACTCCACTAACCTGTATTTTTCAAGTTAATAATAGTTTCAATATAAGTGCTTTGCATATTGTCTGGATGTTGTCTTAATATAGTCTTTTTAATTTCACCATCTGGTAGTTTCATGCTTGCAATTTTACAGTCCCTGAGAATGCAGCAGCCAGGGGATTCGGGACACTTTGGTTCTGCTTTCATGCTCTGCCATTCTTGAGACAGCCTAGCAGAGGTCTGCCTTCCCAAAGGCAGCACTTTGGAAAAATGAAGTGATTTTTTTCCTTCAAGCGTCTTCATTTTGCAGGCTGAAAAATTTAAGGAGCTGAAAATTTCTCGAGTTGGGATCAAGGTAGGAGCCCATTGCCATGTCAGCAGAGCTGGGGTTGTCCCGCTGAGGCTGAGCTCCTGCAGGAGTCAGGCTGGCAGGGCTTGGTCCCTGTCACTGCAGGTGCCCTGTGTCACAGCCCCTGCTCCAGCTTGTGAGGAGTTGGGGGAGCTGCTGTGTTTGGGGCAGAGGCTGCTTGGCTCTGTGACCCTGGCCTGACCTTGGTGCAGGCGTTGGGGTTCTCCCCACAGCACTGCTCTTTATCAGCTGGCACAGTTTGGTTTTGGGGTGTTTCGAGGTGATTCTCCTCAGGCTCTGGGTGTCAGGAGGTGGTTAATGACCTGTAGAAATGGGGAGTTGTGGTTCAGCTGAGTTAGAAGACTTGTTAACATTCTGTGGACAGTGGGGTGCTGCCTTCAGATACAGGAGCCAGGACTGGTGCTGCAGGACCTTGCAGGACTCAATCCTTGTCCACCCCCCTTTCCTGCCCCTCCAGGACTTCTTCCTGCCCTCTAGCAGAGCCGTGCTCAGCACACAGCCTGGCTCTCCGTCAGGCCATAGCCATGCAAACAGTGATCCACATCGATTGCCCAGCTCTGCCTTTGCTCAGAGCTTCCTTAAAATAAAGCAAATTGCATTACACAATTAATGTGTGAGGAGCCGCCCGTGTTTGATAAGAGCATCTCAGGTGATTTGCTCTTTGAAATGCTGAGCTTATTTATTGGCGTGGAAAAAATTGCTTACAGAGCGCTGCCATTCCTGAAATCCTGTTTGCACTTGCTGTGGAGAGGAGCTGTGCAGGCAGGGGAGGTGGTGGTGCTGACTGGAGGCAGCTCCCAGCACACAGGATGTGGCACAGCAGCCACAGAGGGGCTCACTGGTGTAACTGGGGCTGGCAGGAAAGGGGTACAGTGTCGAGTTTGAAACTGCAGCTTTTTGAAAAGTCAGTGCCAGAACCTTTGTCTCCAAGAATAGGAAAAGCTTTAGTAAACCCACCAGTGAAAGTGTTTGATGATACAGCACCAAAGTATGTGACTGATAATTCCTGAAACTTAGCTTGTCAGATTTTTCATAGTGATTACTTTCTCTTTCTGAACAATCCCAGGAGTCCCTGATTTCCTTCTGGGGAGGTGGGCATGCTTAGCTTCTGTAAGCTGTGGAGGAAAACTGGGGAAAATGACCCAAGTGAAGCCAAAAGCCATCACAGAACAAGCACAGAACGGTGTAATGAGCCTTGTGACTGCTTAGAGCTGCTGGGGCTGGTCCTGTGCACCTGCAGGGGTTGTAGGGCTCCCCAGAGAGGCTTGGCAGAGTCTGGAGAGAGGAAGGATTCTCCTTCCAGTCGTTTCAGGGAGAAGAATCCATGGAAGACACAAGAAGGCTAAACTAAATACCAAACTAAGCCCTAAGTATTTACAATCAGAAGAAAAAAAAGCCATTATGTTACTCCTGATCCTGACAGTCTAATGCAGTTGTTTGCTGGATCCTCTCCTATTTCAAAGTTGTTTCAAACACTCTTACAAGCAAAATAAATTCACTGTCCATGTTGACCCGTCCGGGCTCTGCAGCACTGCCCTCGTGCTGGGTGTGAAAAGCTGCTGAGAGCAGGCTTTGAGAGAATTGAAATGAGAAATGCCAGAGCTGAGGAGGCCCAGGGGAGCTCAGTGGGGCTGGCATTCCTCCCCTCTGCAGGGCCATGGTACTGCCATGGGCAGTGCTGGGGCTGCACATCTGCCTGATCTGGCTGTCTGGAGGAGGAGGAGGTGTGCAGCTCTGAGACTGGGACATGTTGGAGCATTTAAGGCATCAGGCATCATTTTAAAAAGATAAAAAGCGCAGCAGACTCCTCAAGCCTCACCTGGAGTCCCGTGAGAGCAGAGGGAAGCTGTGGGTGCTCGCAGATCTCAGGACCTGCATGTCCTGCACGTGGGGCTGCAGCAGTGCCCGGGGCAGGCAGGGCTCAGGTGTGCCCAGGTGCTGCTCCCTGCACAGAGCTCCTGCAGGAGCAGCCAGCCTTCGCCTGTGCAATTACACTTCACATGGCCAACTGTGTAATTAGTTTGGAAGACTTATGCCTAGTCATTGGTTTATCCTAATCGGCTTTGGCTTTTCCCAACAACAAAGTGAGCTTATTTTCCTAAGCTGAAACAACTCTGCTCCCTTTGTTCCTCTCTTTTATTGTCTCATTCCTTTCATTCTGTTTTACTGCCAAAGTTTTGTTTCATTAGGCCTACAAGTCATTTCCAATCCAGTGGGCTGCTACAATAAGGCCTTTATAACTCAGCTGCCCTGGTTCCCATGTCCCTTCTGGTCCAGAGCCAGGACTTGCTGTTTGACATGGGATTTTAACCCTTTGGCTGCCCCAGCTGCTGCTTCCTTGGTGGGGCTGGGCCAGGCTGAAGCCCTGGTGAGATCAGGGATCCTAATGATGGTGTGTGGGCATTAATTGATAGGGAAATGAGCTTTAGGTAACGCGTTCAGGCCAAATTATGGGAACAGAACTCTGAGCAAAAACCTTACTGTAATGAGTCGTGGTGGGAACAGTTCTGGTGAGGGTATGTTCCAGTTGTCCTGAGCCATTAGATCAGTCCATGTAGGACTGTTCTTGTAGAAAAATCATGGGGTTTTGTGTAGGAGAAAACACAAATTTAAATTTGTCCTTTTTTGAACCAGAATGGTGATGCTTGAAGGAGATGTGTGAAATAGTTTTGTGGACAAGCAATACTTTTCCATATTGCTGGAGGAGGAGTCAGTGCTGGTGGTGGTGGCCCCAGATGTTTTACTTTCAATCTCAGAGCACTGGCTCCTCAATTTCCCTTTCACAGTAATCCTAAAGTGACTTTCAGGGAAGGAGGCTCTGGCACTTGTTTTTTTTATTTTAAATTTCCAGATGAAATTGGACCAGACCAGCATGCATGAATTTTGTGTTCTGCCCTGGCTTGCCACGAGGTCCCTCAGACCTCTCGTAGGCATGTTTCAGCTTCACTTGGAATATGTTATTTCCTCAGGAATAGCTTTTAAGATTTGGAAATTTTGAGACAAGACAGGATTTCTGAATTACCTCTGTGGATTTGAAATGTTTTGTACAGTCACTTGTTATTTCTTGTGAGACGCAGAACAGACCAGTGGAATAATAATAATAATATCTGAATTCTGAGATTTTTTTTTCTGTTGAGATTTTGAAAATGTGTAGTTTTCCCATCCCTTCCTTCTGTAGCCTGACTTAGTGTCTAGAGTCAGTTAAAAGAGAGGAAGGTGCTTTCTCACACCTGTCCTGGCTCCAGGCACATCCACGGTGCTGCCTGAGCACCAAAACGTCAGAATGAGAATTTCCTCCTCTGGCTGTACCATGCCCTGCGTTATAATATGGACCCTGGTGCAAATAACAACCAGTTTAACCTTTGGAAAAATAACCTTTGTAGTGAGGTCCCTCTGCTTTCTGTGTGTGTGTGTGTGTCAGGAGGGAAGGAGGTGGGACCCACGGATTTAGGATTTCAGCCCAATCGCGTGGTTTACATCAATCGCTTCCTCTGTGCCCTCCTCCCTGACAGCTGTGAAAATATCCATCAGAAACAGAGAGAAAACTCCTCCTTGTTTGGCCAGCCTGTCCGGGTGTGAATGAGTTAATGCACTGCT